CGCCGAGCGCCCTGTTCCGGGCCGGGCCGGTGTCACGTCGGGCAGGTGGAGTGAGCCGTGTTCGGCCCGCCCTGCACTTGACTTCGGAATGAGAGGAGCTGGGGCATCGACCCTGGGCCTGCTCGGTGCTGCGAGCCCTGCTGCTCCTCCACGGGGTCTGGCTGTGTCGCTGCTCCGGCCTCTGCCTCGCAAGTCCCCGGGCGCCGCAGCAGGCTTCCAGCCAGAGCCGGCTCTCTGCGGGCTTGTGCTGACGCTTTGGTCGAACCCACTCACTCGGTGCAAGAACACCAACAGGCCGTCAGGCTGGGCCGCCCGCACTGAGCTCCCGGTGGCAGAGGGGGAGGCAGAGCACTGGGGAGGGCCTCGTTTGCAGAGACCAGAGCCGGGCACTAGTCCCTCTCTGACTCCGCCCGGCCCCAGCAGGACTGTGCACATCTGTGCCAGCTGGGGGCTTCCATCAGGGGCTGGGGACTGTTAGAGTCGGTTTGCTCCGAGGAAGAGTTAGGAAGAGCTCCCGCTGTCGCGACCCACAGCACGCGTTCTCTTTGCAGATACACTGTTCCAGCTGAAGGTGAGTGACGTCTCCCGGCCCTGTCCCTGTCCTGGCGATCGTGAAGACTACACTCACTCAGCTCTGGAAGGTCGGGACAGTCCGTAGGAGGGTCTGATGTCCTGGGGATCCCACGAGTGCTTAGGCTGCTCAGAGGGGACTGTCTGGTTGCTGGGAGACGTAGGAGTTGTTCGCACTTCTCAGGCCATGTGGAAACACCCTTTAGGCCATTCCTGAAAGGCAGCATGTGCTCCTAAGAGACACAGCATGGCCTGTGCATCCCTTGTCCCCATTGGCGTCCTGAGCTGTGGCCCTGTCCCTTGTCCCAATTGGCGTCCTGAGCTGTGGGCCTGCACGCTGCGACGTCCCCTCTGCGGGGAGCTTTCTGGACCTCTGGGCGCTCCTCCTTTCAGGGTGGGTTGTGCAGCTTTCAAATAGCCCTCGGCTCATTTCTGCCACGTTTCCCATAGGTGCCTCCACGGTTACTCACCCATGGCAAGTTTTGCCCTGGTTTCTTTTTCTTTTTTGAGAGATTTTTGCTATGGGCAACATGTGCTCGCTGGCAAGAGAGAGAAACAGACAGAAAGCGAGAAATCACCCCCAGGGGGATGGCCTCACTGCAACCCCTCCTCCTCCATTCTCCTCTCAGGATCTTAGGCACACACATACACACGCCCAGTGTGGGTTTCAAGCTGCTGGGTCTGGGACTTGAACCGTGATCGGCCAGTGGGAGTCCAGCACCTAGTCTACCACACCACCTGTTGGCCCTGGGCAGGGCTGGTGTGCACAAGCTACTGAGCACAGCTCTGGGTGTTCTCAGGGAACACGGTGGCTCTGAGGCGCAGACGGGGACAGAAGTGACCGGCTGGCAGAGGACCGCAGAGGGGCACAGTGGACAGACTCGGGGCCGAGCTGTGGCTCTTGGAAGGCCCTTATCTCAGGCTCAAGACTAAGTACAAATGTGCCCTGGAGACGCTGGTGTCATGGCGCCAGGTTGGCGGGCAGAGGCGGGTGCCCTGCGTCTGGCACTCACAAGTGCGTTTTACCTGCAGTGCTGTCCACTCAGCGCTCTGGAATGGCTCTCTTTTTTTGGGAGAGGTTTTTGCTATAGGGCACGTGCGCTCACCAGAAAGACAGAGACAGAAAGACAGAAAGCGAGAAATCACCCCCCATGGGGGATGGCCACGCCCCAATCCCTTCTCCATTCTCCTCGGGATCTTAGGCACACACACACACACACATACACACACCCGGTGTGAGTTTAAGCCACCAGGTCCGGGACTCGAACCACGGTCGACTACGTGGGAGTCCAGCAACATAGCCATTACACCAACTGCTGGTCCCCAGGGTGGTTTTCTTTTCTTTTTTTTTTTTTGGAGAGGTTTTCACTATAGGGCGCGTGCGCTCACCAGACAGGCAGAGAGAGATATAGAGACAGAAAGCGAGAAATCACCCCCCCAGGGGGGATGGTCATGCTGCAATCCCTTCTCCTCCATTATCCTCTCAGGATCTTGGGCACGCATGCACACGCGCCCGGTGTGAGTTTTAAGCCACCGGGTCCAGGACCCGAACCGCGGTCGACTACGTGGGAGTCCAGCGACATAGCCATTACGCTAACTGCTGGTCCCCCGGGGTGGTTTTCTTGATTCCATGTGTAGGCAGGAGGGTCAGTGGAGTTGCCCTTTCCCATTCATTTTGGGGTAGCTTTGGACTAGGATCAGGATGGAAAATACATCTTACTAGTTTTTCAAAACATTTAAATTTAGGGGCTGGCAGGTGGCATGGTGGTTAAGGGTGCAGGAGTCCCACGTGGCCGATCTCAGTTAGAGTCCTGGACCTGGTGGCTTGCTTTCTCACCCCCCCCCCCCCGAATCTGTCCTTCTCTGGTCAAATTAAAATGAAAAGGTAAATGAAGTTAGGTATTTTTTTCATTTCAAGTTTGTTAGTTTTGTTGTAGGGCGTGTGCTCACCAGAGGGAGGGGGAGAGGGGCTGTGAGAACGCACCCTTCAGAGTGACAGCCACGCAGGGAACCCCTTCTCTTCTGCTCTCCTTTTGGGACTCGGGGCACCCACGCACGTGGCTTGGCAGGTCCTTCAATGGTTGGACTGTCCCTAAAAGCCACTGTGTCTGGGCCTTGAACTGTACAGCTTGCCATGTGAGGTCCAGCAGCCTTAACCACCACCCCACCTACTGGCCCCAAGACAGACAGTTTAGAAGGCCTGTCACAGCCTTCCTCCCAGACGGAGCCTCAGACTGGCCATCTCCCTGCCCCTCCCTGTCTCCTCGGCCCTCCCCTGTGTGGGCCGGGCTGACAGGCAGGCGTGGTAGGGGTGTGGCTGAGGGAGGGCTCTGCCGGCTCACTCGGGCCTTCTGGTTTCTGCAGTTCACAGCGAGGCAGCTGGAGAAGCTGGCCAGGAAGGCTGAGAAGGACGCCAAGACTGAGCAGGCCAAAGTGAAGAAGGTGGTGCCTCCCTGCGTCTCCCTCCGCCTACTTCCATTTCCTGCTTGGCTCCCACGCCTTCCGTTTGTCCAAGGCGCTCTGGCCGTGACTTAGGAGCCTGGCTGCGTTCACATGCTCATGTGACCCACGGCATGGGGGGTGCCCTGCCCCACTCTGCCTTTGTCATCAGCTCCCTGGACCGTCTCCAGGAAGGGGTGACGGGGGTCTCGTGCTCTTGGGGAGACTTTTGCCCCAATCTTGTGGAGTTGCTCCGAGGTGGCCTAACTGGAGAAGTGGCTCCACGCCCAGACCTAGGGCTCCCAAGCAGAACGGGCCCTGACAGCCGACTCCAGGGTCTGCAGTGGCAACTCCGCAGAGGTGCCCCTCGGGCTCCGAGCACTGCACACTCGCGTCCTGGGTGCTGCATTCTGAGGCATGCCCCTGGAGAGGGTCTCAGCGCCGCCCGGGAGGAGTCAGCTCCAGCCCTGGGAGGGCCGGTCTGCTCAGCGCTGCGTCCTCACAGCCGGCCTTTCCCCGTTTCAGGCCCTTCAGCAGAAGAACGTGGAGTGTGCCCGCGTGTACGCAGAGAACGCCATCCGCAAGAAGAACGAGGGTGTGAGCTGGCTGCGCATGGCGTCCCGCGTGGACGCAGTGGCCTCCAGAGTGCAGGCAGCGGTGACCATGAAGGGGGTGAGTGCCCGGCCGGCTGTGGGCTCCGACGCCGTGTCTGGCTCCTGTGAGTGCGGGGCCCACACGGCCCAGGCAGGGGTCCCTCCGCACCGGCCGCACCGCATCTCCAGCCACGCCTGAAGTGTGCTTGCCCTTGAGGCCCTGGCGACAGGGCGGCCCAGACCTGGGGCTCTGTGGGTTGGGGTGGGGAAGCCCTGCTGTCCCAGTTGAGAGGACACACCTCTGGTGGGTGACCTCCACTCAGCTCAGGCCTTCTCCTGTCCTGGCCTGTCTCAGGTGACGAAGAGCATGGCGCAGGTAACCAAGGCCCTGGACAAGGCCCTGAGCACCATGGACCTGCAGAGGGTCTCCGCGGTCATGGACAGGTTCGAGCAGCAGGTGCAGGACCTGGATGTGCACACCTCGGTGCGTGGCTGGGCCTGGACTCACCGAGGGTGTTGAGAGGGGAGCAGGCAGGGCACCGGGCTCCCTTCAGGGGTGAGTGGGCACTGAGGCACCGAGCGGTGCTCAAGTACTGCCCACCGAGACTCCGAGAGGCTGGGCTGTGGTGGCAGGAGGGCGCCCCATGGGGGAACGGCATGAGGGGACAGCTGGCTATGGGGGATGGCACAGGGGGACAGCACTGGGGGCAGCTGGCCATGGGGGATGGCATGTGGGGGATAGCATGGGGGACAGCTGGCCTAGGGGGACAGCACGGGGACAGCTGGCCAGCCGGCATGCACTGCCACCAGGTGATGGAGGACTCCGTGAGCTCGGCCACCACGCTGAGCACGCCCCAGGAGCAGGTGGACAGCCTCATCGTGCAGATCGCCGAGGAGAACGGCCTGGAGGTCCTGGACCAGCTCAGCCAGCTGCCCGAGGGCGCCTCGGCCGTGGGCGAGAGCTCTGGGCGCAGCCAGGAGGACCAGCTGTCCCGCAGGTGGGGCTGCCTGGCGCCACTGCCCTGGCCTGCTCTGTGGGCTGGGCTGGGCTGGGCTGACCCAGGGAGCCCCACCCCCTGTGCCGTCTGCGCCTGCCTGCCGGGCCTGGGTGGCTGCAGCCCTAAAGTAGCTGCCCCCTGCCCTGCCCCGGCCTGCCCCGCCCGCTCCAGCCTCCCAGCAGCCCAGGGTCAGATTGTGGGGCGGACTTCGTCTGGGCTGTGGGCGCTCGAGCCTTGCAGCTCGCTGTAGAAGGGCAGCTGCTCTTCCAGGTGGGCCAGCAGGTGGCGGTCGCCACCCCGAGGAGGAGATGGGGCCGGGACCTGCTAGGCAGGAGGGAGGCAGAGACATGGAGGAGGGCTCTGGAAAGAACAGTCAGGACATGCAGGGTGGACTGGCCATCTCTGCTGGAGGTCACCCTGGCCCTGAGCTGCCCGGGTTTGTTCTGTGGGGCAGTGGGGGGGGGGCGCGGATGGGAAAGCTGGGGTCTCCCACGCTGAGCCATGGTGCACCCTGGTTAAATGAGCCCACCTGGCCTCTGGGTACAACGGTCCCGTTTAGCCTGCGTGGCCAGCTGTGCGGCCTCGGCCCGGTGGCAGTCCTGCTTGTCTGGTCCCCACTGTGCAGCTCAGAACGGGCGGGCCCGGGGGGCGAGGGGCCTTGGCTCCCAGCCCCACACCCTTACCTGTCCTCTTGCTTTCCAGGTTGGCTGCCTTGAGGAATTAGCCGTCCCACCGCCCTCTGCCCCTCTGCCCTGGTGTGCAGCACCCCCCTACCCTGGCCGAGTGCCCCCCATGGGGTAGCCACCGCCTCTGGGCTCCTGCTAGTTGGGTGGCCTCGGCATTGTCCCCGTTCTCTTAGGTGGGGCCGTGGGCCTGTGTCTTGGTGTCAGATTTGCACAAACTGCTAGTACCTTCTGGGACTCCAGGCTACCAGCAAGGCCCTCCGTGCAGCTGATGGGGACTGGCCAGCAGATGCCATGTGGACGCTACCCCTTGGCCCGTGGCTGTAGACCCGCTGCGTGCAGTCAGCCTCCTGCACTGATCCACACAGCCTCCAGGAGGCCCCAGCAGCTCTGGTGTCAGCACTGCCCCACGCTGTCCTGCGACCTTCCCGACAGGGCCCCGCATCGTCCCCAGGGGTCTGGGCCATCTCTGCCACCTGGAGGTGCCTTTGGCCTCTCGGAGTCCGCCCTGCCCACCTGGAGCCCTCAGCAGCGCGGCCTTGTCCCCCACGGCCTTGCCCTGCCCTCCTCCTCGGGTGACATGGCCCTGCCGCCCTACCGTCGCCATGCGCCACAGGGTGCCACCCTCCTGCCTTCTCCCTTGGATACTGGAGCTGCTGCTGGAGGCCGGGGATGGTCGTCCTCAGCCGGGGCCTGGAGCAAGCGAGACCTCGAAGCCCGGCTTACGGCTCGTGGGCCCAAGGGAGGCGTTTGGGCACAGCAGCTGTCTCTTCCGTTGTCCTAAAGTTTACTTCATCTTGAACCTTCTAGGGTTTTTGTTTTTTGTGTTGCCAAAGTAGAGTGGGGCCCAGCCCTCCTTCCCTGAGCTGTGGCCGAGGGCGCTACCCCTGCCCTGACTGGCCACAGGCTAGGACTACAGCCGGCGGGCAGGGACGGGAAGGCCTTCGCCGGGCAGAGGGCAGCATTGGCAGGCCCTGGTGTGGGCATGGAGGCAGTCACCTCCCCATTGGGCGGCCTCGAGACAAAGTCCTTTGTGGGAACAACCTCGGGACTTCCTGGCCCCCTGAGGGTGCAGCCCCAACTCCGGGTGCTGAGCGGGGGCCCCGGGTAACACCGCGTAGTCACCCTTCCTCTGAATTGATGTTGTCGGCAGATCAGTTCCCAGGGACTTCTTGAGCTTTGCTTTGGTGGCCTTGGGTGGGACCCCAGACGAGGACCTCTAGCCCTGTGAGAAGCTGAGGGAGGCTGGTGGGACAGCAGGGTCTGTGTTACCTGGCTCTGAGCCTGGCGGAGGTCGCAGGGTGCCCCATCTAACCCTCCTCGCTCGCTGGGCCCCTGCACCAAGTCAGGGAACTGCCAGGCACAGCGCTCACCAGCCCCACTTCCTGCCCATGGGCACCCTGTGGAACAGGGTGGTGCCCAGCCCAAGGAGCCTGCACCCCCTGTGGGAACGAGCCCAGATGTGTTTTGTATGCGTGTGGTGATGCGCATGTGAAGGACTGAAGTCTAGTCCACATCTGCTTAAAGTTTCTGTAAAGCGCCCCCTTTAAGGTTTTTGCTGTGGGTGTGTGGACTCACCGAGAGAGGCAACAGAGGGAAATGCCCAGGGGAGTGGCCACCCCGGTCCTTGTGCCTCAGTCTCGGGGTTCAGGCACGCATGCACCTGCACCCAGCGTGAGCCTCGGGGTTCGGGCACGCATGCACATGCACCCAGCGTGAGCCTCGGGGTTCAGGCATGTGTACACATGTACCCAGCGTGAGCCTCGGGGTTCGGGCACGCGTACACATGTACCCAGTGTGAGCCTCGGGGTTCAGGCATGCGTGCACATGTACCCAGCGTGATTCTCAAGCTCCTAGGTCCAGGACTTTTGTTATTTAGAGAGTCTCACTATCGGGCATATGTATGAGACAAAGCAAGAAATCACCCCCGGGGGGATGGCCACACCACTATCTTCGATTCTCGGGATTTCGGGTGCATGCACACACCTGGCACCTCCGGGTCTGACTGTGGGAGCCCAGTGACAGCCATTCTACCACCTGCTGGTCCAGAGGTCCAGGCTTTGAGCCCCGCATCCCGCCCTGTGGGGTGCAGTGCCGTAACCACGCCGCCTGTGGCTCCTGCAGACCTGACCTGGCCCCGCCTTCCAGGACGCAGGTGCTTCTGGGCCTTGATGGTCAGCCGGACCCTTTCACATAACCTCAGCTTGTAGTGCGGGCCCCCCTCCCCCACACGGGACCATTTTCCCCACTGGTGACGCGTTCTCAGAACTTGGAGGGATGGCTGCTTTTACTGAGGGTCTCGAGGGTCGCCAGGGTCCTGTCCACCAGGGAGCCCAGCGCTGGCTCAGGAGGTGCAGAGCCTTGTGTGGGGGTCAGGGCTTGGGATGGGCTCTCTGCCCAGACTTCCCAAGCCCAGGAAGCCTTGAAGGGATGCTGGTCCTCAAGGTGCCACAGAAGACAAGCTGAGGAACAGGGGTGCGAGGGGGGCCAGCAGGAGCCCAGGCTGGCGGCGGAGGCTGGGGGCCTTTGAGTAGCCGTACAGTGTCCTGCAGGAGCCGTCCAGCTGCTCCAGGGGGATGGGCAGCTCCTCCGGGGTCTGTGTGTGATCGCTGACCTGAGGACAGACGGGTGGGCAGCCTGTCTGCCAGGAGGGCAGGGGTGGGGCGCAGGGGCAGCCGCGTCCTCACCTCCTCCACCTTCCTGAAGACCCGCAGGAGGTTTCTCGCCAGCACACCCCTGACCTCGTCCTCTGTCCAGTTCCTCCTGAGCAGCTCGGCGATCAGGTCCGGGTACTTGGAGACGTCCTCTAGCCCCACGGGAAGCCTGGGAGAGACCGAGAACCTGGGGTGCTGGGAGACTGGCGTGGAGGAGTCCTGGCCTGTGCTGGGCCACACCGGCCCCACCAGCCTCCCCGCCCAGCCCCTAACCTCGTGACGCCGTCATAGTCTCCCCCCAGGCCCACGGCACCAGCGCCTGCCACCTTCTTGATGTGGTCCAGGTGGTCTGTGGAGACACAGCGTGGGTCCAGCAGCGCCCCCCCACACCGCAGCCACAGCCCCCACCACCACCTACCAGCCACTTCGGACAGGGTGGCCTCCTTTCTGCAGGAGACGTAGTCGTTGTAGAAGTCCACCATCACCACGCTGCCCGTCTTGTTCTGCTCGGGGAGAGGAGGGCTGAGGGCTGAGGGCTGAGGGCCGGTCTGGCGGGCGGGCAGTGGGCAGGGCACCCCGGCGGCGTTGCGCTGGTGTGCACACAGGCTGTAGGCCGACGAGTGGCTGAAGATGACCGGGGCCTGGGACAGCTGCAGTGCAGCCTTCATGGTGGCCACAGAGACGTGGGACAGGTCGATGATGACGCCCAGGCGGTTCATCTCCTTCACCACAAGCTGGGAGGATGCCCTGGCAGTCAGCCGCTGCCCCGTGATGGGCCTCTCGGCAGCACTCTGGTCTGAGCGGTTTCAGCGGGGCTCGCTCAGTCCCGGGGGGAGAGGCCCTCGTTGTGGTCACTGTCTGGCCTGGTCCCCCACTCACCTTTCCGAAGGGCGACAAGCCATGGCTCTGGGCCGCTTCGTCGCCTGTGTCCACCAGCCAGTTGTCGGCCCTAGGGAGCAGAGAGCAGGTACCCATGGAGAGTGGTGGTCTTGGCCCACCCGGGCCTCCCACCTGACAGGACGTGCCTGGTACAGGCCCACAGGGACGGGGAGGTGTGGTGCTCCACCCCCTCGGGCCTCCCCAGGCCTCGGGCCTCCCCAGGCCTCGGGCGCCGGACCAGGGGGTGTTGCAGCTGTGGGTGAGGGTCAGGTAGCGCATGCCCAGCCGGTAGAGCATCCGCAGCACGCCCAGGCTGCTGTCGATGGAGTGCCCGCCCTCCACGCCGATCAGACTGGCCACCTTGCCCTCCTGGAAGGCCTGCTCGATGCCTGTGAGGGGCGTGGAGACAGAGGAGGGGGTGTGTGCTGTCGGGGTGCCTTGCCCCCCACGCGGCCGCCCACTGAGGGGGTGGGGACAGAGGAGGCTCTGCAGCCGGCCGCCCACCTGCGCTGCTGCTGACGCACAGGAAGGCCTGTGGGTACGTCTGGCACAGGCGGTGCACCACGTCCATCTGCTCCAGTGTCCTCCGCACGGCGTCCCGGTTCTGGGTGTCGCAGGGCGTGTACACGGACCAGAACTGGAGGGCACGGGTTCTGCAGCTGACCGTCCCAGGCCCAGGTACCGCCCCCACACGTGGGCGACTGGCTCCCTCTCCCCCTTAGGACCCCCCCTGGGGACTGGGTGCCTGCTCTGCCACAGGAAGGGCCTGTGGTCCTGAGGGGCTCAGGGGGTCCACCTCCCCACCAAGGAGCACTGCGTCTCAGCCAGGCCCAGGGATGCGGGTGGGCCGCCGTACCTGGCCCCCCACAAAGCCGGCCCGCAGTTTGGGGATGTTGGTGTGGGTGCTGGCCAGCGTGCTCAGGTTGGCCGCCTCCAGCGTCAGCTGGTTGTTGAACTGGTCCAGGAGCTGCCAGGCCAGGTCGTTGTGCCTGGAGGGCAGGCCCAAGGTCAGGCACCTCCATCCTGTTCTGCGTCCTATGGGCTCTGGACTGAAGCCAGGCCACAGGCAGGCTGGCTGGCACCTGAGCTCCCCCGTGCAAAGGGGCAGTCTGCCCATGCCCTGCCCCAGGCCCCAGGTCAAGGCGGGAGGTGCTGAGTAGCCCAGAGCTGGGGAGGGCAGGTCCTCCCTGGACCGAGACTAGGAGCGCGGTAAGATGCAGGTCTGCTGGCCCAGGACAGCTGAGTGCCCCCGCACCGACACCAGGTGCCATGCCGTCTCCACCCCACCCCTTCACCCCACCCCACCCAGCTTGCTCATCTGAAACCGGGGGCTGCTGTGGCACCTTGTTCAGTGAGCCCTGGGGGGAGTGGGTAACCCCTGCTACAGGGTGACCTCGCAGCTCTGCCTTCACCCTGACCCCAAGTCGTATGTTTCTCACGAGCATGTCCAAGCACGTCAGCAAAGGCTCTGCCCTGCCAGGTGACGCCCCGTCCCTGCTCCCGACAGGTGTCCAGGACACATGCCAAGCCGTCTTTTCCCGAACGCTGGGTCTGCTGGGTGCCAGAGCATGTGCAGGTGCTTGCTGCCCCCAGCACTGGGCACCGAGGGCCTGGACAAGTGGCTCTAGCCGAGACCCCTCCCACTGCAGCCCTGTCCCCAGGGCAGGGCCGAACAGGGCTCCCAGGAGGGAGGGGACAGCCGTTGTGGGAAACCTGTCCCCACCCTGGGTGGGGATCCTGGGTGTGTGGGGTCCTCAGGAGCCTGGGAGCCACCAGGCCTGTCCTCTGCACTCCCTCAGCCAAATGGCAGTGGGAGGGGCTCAGAGCCAGTAAGGTCCTTGCTAGATGTGGGTCCCAGTGTCCTCGAGGAGCTGGCGTGCTAGCCAGGCTGTCTGTGGCTGCCTTTTCTCAGCCTCCTTTTCCTCGGTGATGAGCCCGCAAGCAGGCACATAGCTGTTTGGAGCAGAGACACTTCCCACTGCCTCATGGCTGGGCATGGCCATGCGGCCGTAGTCTGTCCTGCAATTCTTTCCAGAAGTGGACCTTGTTAAACAGCTGGTGCTCAACCTTGTCTTTTCTTTATCTCTTTCTCCTTCCTGCTGGTTGGCATACGAATGTGATGGCTGGAGCTGGTGCAGCCATTTTAAGCCATGAGGTGACTGGGAGTGGTGGCCAGGCAGGGTGTCTGGCATGAGGCCATGTTGGGACTTCCTGCACTTCTCTGCTGTTGGATCTCTTATGTGCAAGGGAGGGGAAGGGCATGGGGGAACAGGGACGGTGCAAGAGAAAGGCTACAACTGCCCCATGGTCCTTTGCTCCCTGCCTGGGGCTGCCTGTTCCCAGGTTCTCATGTGACGAGACACCCAGGTTTCCCTGCCTTCTGCAGAGCCCAGAGGCCCGGCCTGGTAGAGAACTGCAGTGTGCTTCACCCTTGCCCCACGCCAGCACGTGTGGGGCCCGCCCACTGCCGGTCACTGCACCCGGCACCTGCTGATGCTGCTCACATGCAAGTCCTGCACGGCTGGGCCAGAAATCAGGGTAGGGCAGGAAAGGGCAGGGTCCACGTGGTCAGGAGGGGAGCCGAGGGAGGGGTGGTGTGAGGCATGCACGTCGGAGGTGTGGCAGGGCAGGTCGGAGCATGCATCCCTGGGCCACGGTGGGCGAGGCTGAGGGAGCAGTGCTCGGCTTTCCTTCTCTTGGACCAGAGCCTCTGGACCACCCAGTGTGGGTGGCTGGGCCAGCTGAGGGTGAAGGAGCAGAAGGAGGCTGAGCAGGAAGCGGGCTGAGGGATCTGGCGTCAGCTCTGAGCATTTGGGTGCAGCAGGCACAGCCTGGAGGGGAGGGTGGGGGCTCCCAGAACACGGGCCTGAGCCAGACCGGGGAGCGGGCACCAGAGCTGCCTGTGGAGGGGCCCGGACAGGGAATGTGGCTGCCTGGACCTCACAGCAGGAGGAGCGGGGATCGGGCCTCAACGGCAGGCCACAGCCCCCCTTCTGCTCACGCCCTACCGACCCTTCACCTGCGGAAGCCTTTAGGGGCCTGAGACCCTACAGAGGAGCCACGGCCAGCCAAGGGCAAGGAGCAGGTTGGGGTGGAGGAAACGCGCCTGCGTGGGTACAGGGCCGGGCTCTGGTCCCTGTGCAGGCCAGCTCCTGCCCACCCGTCACTCAGGGGTCACTCACCCATCGACGACAGGTGTGTCCTGCATGATCCTCTCTGCCTCATCCCGGAATGAGTCTGCAGAGCAGGCAGCCACCAGGGACCAGAGCCACCAGCCAGTCCACATGGCGAGGTTCCCACAGACCGGCGTCCGGTGCGGTCCTGTGCAGCCGGGCACAGTGGGCTCAGGGCTGTGCGGCCCTGTCTGCCTGCCAGGGGAGAGCCAAGGCCTTGGCTGAGGTCGCAGGCACTCCCCGGTGTACTGCGGCACTCCCTGGTGTACAGCAGCACTCCCCGGTGTGTTACTGTCCCCCGCCCCCCAGCCGCCCCGTGTTCAATGAGTAACCAGCCCCCGTGCCACCAGGACGGACGTTGTGGCCTGGGCCAGGTAAGAGGCTGGGCCTGGGATCCAGGGCAGGGCCTGAGCAGGGCCAGCATGGACGGGCTGGCGGTACCTCTGCCCCAGTGGCACCAGAACTTCAGGACGGCTATGGTAGAGCCGCAGCAGAGGGGCCTTCGCAGAGGGGCCAGGTGGCTGCTCCGTTTCGCATCATTCTGTGCTCAGAACCATCTGGTTCCGGCCCCAGGGCAGCCTGTGGGGAGGCTGCGCTCGGCTCTGGGGTCACCACCTGGGGCAGTGAGGGCCAGCCCGCTTCTCGGCCATGCTTTCCCCTCACAGCAGTCCCCCGGGACCAGAGGGGTTGGCCACTCGGAACCAGGGCCAGGCTCTGGGATCGAGGCACACGCGACCTGTCGGCCTGTCTGTCCCGTCTGCTTCGCCCTGAAGTCCCTGGCGGCCCCCTTCCCTCCTCTCAGTGCTGTACTCATATTTGCAGAAGCTCCCAGGCTTGAACCCTGCAGACCCGGCCGTCCTGGCTGCTCCGAGCCTCACGCTCATGGCCCTCAGCTGGGAACCTACACTTTCCACCTGGTCTCCACACTGCAGGTCTTCCTCCTTTTGGGTTTATGGTTTTTTTGTTGCTGTTTTTGCCTTTTTTTTTAAAAAATTATTTTAGGGAACCAGCAGTTAGCGTAATGGCTATGTCACTGGACTCCCACGTAGTCGACTTCTGTTCGCATCCCAGACCCAGTGGCTTAAAACTCACGTCAGGTGCATGCGCGTGCCTGCCCAAGATCCCAAGAGGAGAATGGAGGAGAAGGGATTGCGGCGTGGCCATCCCCCCGGGTGGTGATTTCTCGCTTTCTGTCTCTATGTCTCTCTGTGTCTGGCGAGTGCACACGCCCTATAGCGAAAAAAAATCTCAAAAAAAAAAAAAAGAATTATTTTACTTAACTTTATTTATTTTAATTTGACTAGAGAGGGACAGAGAGAGACAGAGGGGGAACGTGCGAAAGCAAGCTGCCAGGTCCAGGACTCGAACCGCAGTCGGCCATGTGTTAACCAGCACGCTGCCTGCCAGGCCCTGGTTTTTCTTTTCAGAGCAGGTTCTTGGGCTGTGAGCCCTTAGGCCCTGTCCATGAGAGTTCAGTGCCTCTCTGTGAAGGCAGACTGAGGCACCGTCCCCGTGCGAGCGCTCGTGGAAATGCCGCAGACCCGCAGGGGACCCACTGACTTACAGCCCTGCAGGAAATAACCATGCGATGCGCTGTCCAGGATTTCAGGCCAGTGGCTGCAGGGGTTGGGGAGTTTCACCTCCACTAGGATCGTCAAGGGATTTAGGAAAAACTGTGCATAGGTTTCAAGAATCTTTGCACCAGAATAAACTCGAAGCCCATGTTCGCAGACTTTGGTGGCCTTGTCGTGTATGCACTGGCCCGACGAGACATGGTTTGCTTGCTTTGAGCTTTCGGTCACCGAAGCATGAGGCACACGGCTGTCTGTGATCCCGTCACTCCCAGCTTCCACCCTAGGGCCACCCTTACTGGCTCTGCACTTGGGCCCTCCTGTGCCTTGGGCTGCAATGGCTTCCCCCGCGTCCCTGCCATGATGTGCGGATGGTTCCCTAGTTGTATTTTTTTTTTTTGAGAGGTTTTTGCTATAGGGTGCGTGTGCTCACCAGATAGACAGAGAGAGACAGAGAGACAGAGAGACAGAAAGCAAGAAATCACCCCCCCAGGGGGGATGGCCACGCCGCAATCCCTTCTCCTCCATTCTCCTCTCGGGATCTTGGGCACGCACGCACACGTGCCCGGCGTGAGTTTAAGCCACCAAGTCCGGGACTCGAACCACGGTCGACTACGTGGGAGTCCAGTGACATGGCCATTATGCAACTGCTGGTCCCATCCCTGGTTGTATTTTTAAAATTATAAACAGTATTGCTTATTCCTGAAACATCCCCTGATGCCAGTGTTTGAAAGGTTTACTAAGACCCTTCCCGAGACAGTGCAGGCCTGGATGCGGTATTCGGGACTCGCTTGGCGCCTGCCCTGTGGGCTCCCCACGTCTGGCCTGTCCAGGGTTCTCTGACCGTGGCCTGGCTCCCACCTTTGACCAGCGAGAGGCTGCAGGGTCCTCCCAGGTGGTCTATGGCCCCTGTGCTTTTTCCTTTGCAAGGTGCCTTCTCGTGTCACCTGCTGTGACAGGCACTCTGGGCAGCGCTGCGGGGACACTTCAAGCACTCTCCCTGTCCGAGTGCCGCTCAGTGTTGCGTAGGACCGGAAGGAGGGGCTCCCGTTTCCAGTGGCGGCCGGGGCTGTGTTTCTGAGCCTGCGGCTGTCTGCGCCCCCCTGTTCTGCCTCCCCCGGTCGTGCTATGGCCAGATGCCCCCTGGCTTGGTCACCGTCCCCCAGAACGTGAAGGTTCCCAGTGTGTCTGCATCCGTGTTGGGGACAGGGACAGCATCCTGTCCTTTGCACATGACAAGCTTTTCCTCTCCAGGCTCCTGGGGCGGCATTTTGTCCTGTGCGTTCTGTGACTTCTCAGTAGCAGGTCTGAGCATCAGGTCCTCATCCTGCCCTCGGGATCCAGGGCATCAGCTGGACACCGTCCGGCCACCGTGGCAGTGCTCCGGCCTTTCCCTGCTGCCCCGGCCCTTCCTTCTTTCTGGTGCTGCCCCGCTCAGCACCGGGCTTCCTGGGCTTACCCTTTTATGAAAAGTTTATTATTTGGGGGCCAGTAGATGGCAAAATGGTTACATTGCTGGACCTCCACATAGTCAACCTCAGTTCAAGTCCCGGACCCAGGACTTAAACCTCATACCGGGGGACCAGCAGTTAGCGTAATGGCTATGTCGCTGGACTCCCATGTAGTCGACCACGGTTCACGTCCCGGACCTGGTGGCTTAAAACTCACGCCGGGCATGTGTGCGTGCATGCCCAAGATCCCGAGAGGAGAACGGAGGAGAGGGGATTGCAGCATGGGCATCCACCCTGAGGGGTGATTTCTTGCTTTCTGTCTCTCTGTCTGTCTGTCTGGTCAGTGCATGCGCCCTATCGCAAAAAACTCTCAAAATAAAAACCAAAAACCAAAAACCAAAACCTCATACCGGATGCATGTGCGCACGTGCCCAGAATCCTGAGAGGAGAGTGAAGGGACTGCGGCGTGGCCATCCGCAGGAGTGATTTCTCACTTCGTCTCTCTGGGAAGCACACACGCCCTATAGCAAAAATCTCTCTTAAAAAAAAAGTTTATTAGTTTATTTACTCCATGAGTGGGACAGACAGGGCAGCACTGCCTGCCTGTCTGATGACCAGGCCTCGGAGCCCAGCCAGCCCTGGGCCATGGGCACACAGGTCCCTCCCTGGGCACAAGCTGCAACCGTCCCTTGCAACTCGACTGCAGCGGCACATCTCGCTCCGTAAATTTTATGCTGTCTGCTGGTCCCCCAACCAGCCTTTTTTCTTTTTTTTTTTTTTTTTA